AAGTAGCTGGGACCACAGGCGCCCGCCACAACACCCGGCTATTTTTTGGTTGCAGCCGTTATTGTTGTTTGGCGGGCCCGGGCTGGATTCGAACTCGCCACCTTAGGTATTGTGGCTGGCACCTTAGCCACTTGAGCCACAGGCGCCGGGCCAAATCTCCCATTTTTTTATGCTGGCAAATACAGCAGCTCTCTCTCTAGTAATCTTTATTTTAGAGGTTAATAAGGAGCTTATGTTGTACTTTTTGTCTTCCCACCCTTTATCTCTGTACCTTGGAAAAGAGGTAATAGAAGTATAAAGATGCAGTAATTTAAAGATTGCTGTTCACCTGTTTCAAATTTTTTCAATCACTTACAAGGGCAAGATCTAGTTATTAAAATCTTTGTAAGAAAAGGTATTCCAATCTGTGATTTGAGAGCTATAGTGCACCCTGTGTTTAGCCAAGGAGGTAATCCGCAAAGATTTCTTATGGTGTCTTACCAAGATTGTATTCTTTTTACAACAGAGATCTTAAATGATGTCACAGATATTTATTGGACACTTACTGTGGGCCAAAAAACTACAGAGGGTGCTGAAAACATGTACATATGTTATAAGAGATGTTATTTATGTATTATATATTATGTATACACAAACTTTACAGAGGGTGCCAAAAAAGGTATATACATTGTAAGAGATGTTGTCTATGTATTATATATTATGTATACACACACTTTGATATATTGTAATTCTGGAAGTCAAATATGATCTGTATTCATCTTTTGTCATCAGTATATATTATTACAATTTAATACAGTTTTTTCCTTTCTTAAAATGTGTGTACATTTTTGGCACCCTCTGTGTATTGCTGAATGCTGTCTATATTGCAGAAAACAACACGGGGCCTCTGCCCTCCCTTATGAAGCTTGCAGTTTGTTGGGGAGCACATACTTTAAAAGAATTCCATAAAAAACTAATTACAGTTGTGATAAATGCTATGAAAAGAATAACATGTTTGAAGTTTAGAGATGAGTAGAAGTCCTTTGTGGGAAGGGAGGAAAATGTGTAAAGGTTCAGAGCGAGGCATATGCATTTAGCTTTGGCCAAATAAATTTTTAACTGCAAGTGAATTAATGCCTTTACTAGAGTGTCTTGCTGTTTAAAGAAGTCTTATTTCATAAAGTAAATAGTCTTTTAAGTAAAGTTAGATCTTCATTGGGCCAATATGTTTAAATGCCTGCAATATTTGATGCATGAAATATTCTGTGGCTCTTACAGAGTTCTACTGGGACCATTGGCCATGTGTAATGAACCTTTCTGAAAAAAAATCTGGAAATTACAGAAGCCATTGTAGGATAATCCCAGTGATTCTGTTAAACCTCCTAAAATTGGTCCTTATATGATTAACAAAGGTGTGACAATTGACTAGTGTGTCTGATGTTCATTATAATTTATCTCTGATTTATTTTTTAAGGTTCCCCACAAGTGAATTTTTTTTTTTTTTGAGACAGAGCCTCAAGCTGTTGCCCTAGGTAGAGTGCTGTGGCATCACAGCTCACAGCAACCTCCAACTCCTGGGCTCAAGTGATT